TTTTTTTTAAATAAATAAAATTTAAAAAGACTGAACATGTGGCTCAGTGGTTAAATACCCCTGGGTACAATCCCTGCTACAAAAAAAAAAATAAAAATAAAAATAAAAAAGATTAAAAAAAAGATAAAAAGTGGTAATAAATTGAAAAATGGAAAAAATGGCTTAAATAGTAAATCTCATGAAATAATAAGTTTTTTTTTTAAAGAGAGAGTGAGAGAGGGGAGGGAGAGAGAGAGAGAGAGAAAATTTTTTAAATATTTTTATTTTCTAATTCTCGGCAGACACAACATCTTTGTTTGCATGTGGTGCTGAGGATCGAACCCGGGCCGCAAGCATGCCAGGCGAGCGCGCTACCTCTTGAGCCACATCCCCAGCCCATAATAAGTTAATTTATTCTCAAACATACAGAAACTCAAGAAATTGTGCCATTATAAAAACTGCCACCATACATGAGATTCATAAGGCTGAGGCAGGAGGATTCCAAGTTCAGGGCCAGCCTGAACAACTTAGGGAGATCCTATCTTAAAACAAAAAGAAAGACTGGGGATGTATCTCAGGGGTAAAGCACCCACCCTGAGTTGGATCCTCAGTATCCACCAACCCACAAAACTGTCAAATAAATGTGTGACACTGTAAAATAATAATACTTCATTTCTTGCCAATAAGAGATATATAAAATGATCTCTGCACTTTAACCAAATAATTTAAGCACTTAGATAGTTAACCGGTACAATATTATAAACCTATTACAAGGTTCATACTAAAGTGCACTGGGAAAAAATTTGTATTGCCTGGAACTGTTTAATGTTGGCATCCTAAGAAACATCATTAAAATTTTTTTTTAGTTGTAGATGGACACAAAATACCTTTATTTAATTTTATTTATTTGATGCTGAGAATCTCATGACTGCTAGGCAAGAGCTCTACCACTGAACTACAACCTCAGCCTGAATAATATCATTTAATGACCTTGTATATGGGAAAAGCTGCATGCTATGAATAATCCACCATAAGACAGAACCCTACATTAATAATATCTGTAGAGTAGTAACATATGAGTCACCACTGAACCAAGCAAACCAGATATAGCTCCTTCTTCACATTCTTCCCTACAATTTCATAACCAGAAAGGGAAGATCTGTGGTAATACCTTGTGAAAGATGGCAGTAGCTCAAGGCAGTTAAGCCCCAGTCATACAGAATTCTTCAGTCATTCATGGAATTTTGCCTCTACTTTCGGTATGTACTTAAGAAGCCAAACTTTGTATAGCTACAATTAATACCCCAGAAGCCAAAAATACAGTGGTATATGCCTATTATCCTAGCCACTCACGAGACTGAGGCAGAAAGATCACAAATTTGAGACCAGACTCAGCAATTTAGCAATACCCTGTCTCAAAA